TGGCTTTAAGGTTTAGGACAGGTTTTAAGGATTTTTTAGGGTTTTTCTTACATATGTCAGTTTCCCACAAGTACAGTGCCCTGCCATCACTGCATGGCAGTTCTGGGAGCAGATCCCCTCCAAGGCACAGAATGATACGCCCTGCACACTCACCCAAATAACCTCTTTTTCCTCCAGCACGATTTTAAAATTTGGCAAGCCTGTTTTGGCAAAGCATCCTTCTGGGGATCGTTTGTGGTTTTTTTCCTGTTGTCACCTAAGGTTGTTGCCAGCAAGTATTGTCAGCAGAAGGGTGATCAGGTCAGTATGAACATTAAAATATTTAAGATTCTTTGTCTTGCTTGAAAGCACCTGATAAGAAGCTTGGTGAGACTGAGGAGCACGGCTTCCACCCCATGTTTTGAGTGGGGAATGAAGTCACTATCACCTGCAAATGAGTCCCAGATGTGCAGATGATTAATCTGAGGCAGAATCCCAGCCCAGCAGGGCCAGTTTCTTTCACCTCTGTCACCTGGGATCCCAAATTAGAGGTTGCTGGGTCACGGGGGAACCACAGACTTACGGTTGCTTCTGATGCATTTGGGGTAACAGCGGCATTTGTGGGGCTGCAGTCAGTGGGACAGACCACGGCCACAACCAGCAAGTCTCTTGTCCAGCACAAAACTGAAGGGATGGAAGCTGGGATACAGACACAGGATAAGGCTTAATAAACACAACAAGCCTTGAGGCAAAGCAGGTTCCAAGTCTGCAGATTTTGGAAGGGGCAAACAAGATCCAGTTCCACCCACAGACCTCACAGAATGAAGCAGAGAGTTCTGCCGCACATTCCCAGGACACACTGAAGCAGACATGGAAACCAGTAAACAAAAAAAGCCAGGCAGCTGGATTTTCAGGTCTAACCACATTTTTGGGGAAAGGAATCCACCGACTCCAGATTCCTGGGCTCCCTTTTTTCAATAACAGGATTCCCAGTGCTGGCAGGCCAGAAACCCACCGTGCAGGTGTGTCCTCTGCACATCCAACAGGAAACCCAGCCTGGCACAGAAAGTGAAACAGTTCCTGGCCTTTATGATGATGAGTTCAGTTAAATATGGAACAAGTGAAAAACACAAGCAGGTCAAAGTGCAGCTCACAGCCTGTTATTAAGCTGAGAAGATGCAAGCTTGGAATAACTCCACACCATGGGATAATCCTGTGCAATGGGGATAGGTACCCATTCCCCTCACAGGGTTTCCAGCTGTCTGCATGCCACAGCTTACACTGCTGAGGTGTCTGCACCCCCTGCCCCATTTTGGGAGCTCCCCAGCCTGGTTCTGGGGAAGGCACCCACCCACTGCAGCTCCAACACACTGCTCCTTGGAGCAGGGCTACATCCCACTCACAGCTCCAGGAATGCATTTACAGCTTAAAGTGGTGTGATAATCTCTCTCTTTTTTTTTCTTTTTTTTTTTTTTTCTTGGATGATGAGGCTGAAAGCTCATTAAGGCCATTACAGCAGAGGCGACAGGTGTAACAGAGAACCATTACTGTGTTTACGCTGTTACAGCAACGTGTGTAATTTTGTTTTAAAACTTTAATCATTTGGCTGCCAGGACAAATGAATTAGCGTGATGATGCTTTCCAGAGGAAGATGCTGATGATGTAGTTTGCAGGGCTTGTGCATCTGGGATTCCCTTGGGATAAGAGATAGGATTTGAAGGCTCACCAAACGCATTACAGGATCTACCTCACTTCACCTCACTGCGTTTTGTCCGTCCTGCATTTATCTCACCTTGTTTCTCCACTGCTGCTTTATCTCTGTCCTCAAAGCAGAGAGGAGGCAAGACAAGGCACGTCTGTTGGTGCTCACCCTCAGAGCACAGCGGTCCCAGCCCTGGCCAGCCGGGCACACCTCTCCAGGAGAGCAGAGGTGAGGCCCAGACTGATAAAAATATCCCAGACTGATAAGACAGTGCCCTGAGCCAGCAAAAGTTGAGGAAGTGGTGGCGGCACTGGGGAGCGGCCTCAGGAAAGGCTTAGGTCAGGAAGAGCACAGGGCAGGGATGTGGCTGAGGCTTATGGAGCAGAGGTGAGGCGGGCACAGCCATAGAGAAATCCAGTCTGGGATGAGCAGAATCAAAGCACCTTGGTCACACCCCATGGCCAATGGATTGCATCTGCATGGAGCAGAGGTGAGGTGGGCACAGCCATAGAGAAATCCATAGGATGCCAGTCTGGGATGAGCAGAATCAAAGCACCTTGGTCACACCCCACGGCCAATGGATTGCATCTGGAGCAGAAAATAATATAAAGCCAGAGGGATGGTGGATGGATGAAGATATCCTACACCCACATTCCCTCTGTGGGAGGCTCACACTAACCCATCCCCTCTGAAAACAGGAGCACTGTCCCTTTAAAACATGTGAATTTCTCCAGAAACAATTATGCAGCATAAACACAGCAAAATCTACAGGGTGAATTTTGAACTAATAAAGATTTAATCTCTCAGTCATGAGACTGCGTTTGTTAGGAAAATACACACATCCCTGAGACTGCAGCTACGGTTGCTATACTACACACTGCTCAGCAGCTCGCTGGGCATTCTTCCAAACCCATTTATTTTTAACATCAGTCACATTATTCAATTAATTATAAAAACACTGAGGTTTTCAAGAGATGTTTCTGATAAAACTGCAAAGTAAATATGCGTGAGAACAGCAAGGATTAAAGTCTCTGTAAACTTAGCATTTGAGGCTGTTGCTATAAACAAGAGAAGTCCTCGAGAAGGTTATTTACCAGAGTGAATCATAGCAGATAACAGAGTCTCCTCCCACACCACACACAGGGATCGTTTGTCCTTTACCTAGGGATGGAAGCAGAGCATCCACATGTCTGTCAGCATGTGCTGGGGCATGAGAGGTGTGAGAACTGGGCTGGATTCTTCAGATGCCTCTGGTATTTCAGCAGCATAGCTTGTAAACATCAAATATTTAGCAGGCTCAGCTCTTTCCCAATAAGCTGGAAACAGAAATCAAAAAATGCCAGCCCATTTCCAGCAATGCCTCAAAGCATTGAAAACACTAGATAGGAACTGATGGAAGGATTCAAGCCTCATCTGTAACAGCAGTCTGTAAATCCTGCTGTTTCCTGCTAACTCCTGCTATGTCCTGTGATGGTTTCACTGAACCAACACAAAATGTTTTCCCAGTCCAAAGTTTGTGTAAGCTTAACCTGGTAAGCAAAAATCATAATGCATTTGGCTTGATCCAATTTTTCACTTTTATCCAAGGACATTTCTGCCTACTTTTCCTAGCAGACTCTATTTTTTCTTTCTTTCTTTCTTTTTTTTTTTTTTTTTCCCCAAAGAGCACATTGTGGTGGAATTATTTGATAGCTCTGATATTGTCTGCATAGATGGCAGATTACAGGCAAGGAGTCTGGGCATCAAAGCCTGGCAGAGAGCAAGGACGCCCAGGCTTTCATCCAAGCTTTGCATATCATCCTTGGGAACAGTTCCTCCCATATGAGCCTCAACTTCTCAGCCACAGAGGCTCTTGGGCAAACGCCTAAATTTTAAATCTAGGCAAATCACGTTGATGATTGCAGGCTCCTTCAGGACAAGGTGAGACATTTTGATCTGCTTGCCCTTAAACGATGGAATCCAGCCTGACCAGGGATCCCAGCCGCAGCGCTGGACACAGCAGCAGCACATAATAACAGGGAGCCATTCAGATGAAGGGATGTGCACAACTGGTTGCCACATCTCACTTGCGGAGGGTGAGATTCCAGCTCTGGGCCCTGCCTCGTGCTGCTCCGCAGGGCTCTGTGGTACCAGGGCCTCCCTCCTGCTCGCAGCCAGCCCAGGCACTGCTGGCCCGACCCACAGCCACTCTGTGGTACCCTGAGGGGACAGGATGGCCACGGCCCTGAGCGGCCTGAGGAACCGTGTGCCTGCAGCCCGTGGGACACGCTGATGAGAGGGATGTCACCAGGAGTTGTTTGGGCACTGGGACAAGCCAGGGGAAGAGTTCCTGGCTGTCAGGAGGATGCACAGATGACGTCTGTCACCAAACCACAGAATGGGTCAGGTTGAAAGGCTCCACAGTGGGTCATCTGGCCCCAGATTCCTGCTCAAGTAGGGTCATTCCAGAGCACATGGGACAGGATTGTGTCCAGACAGTTCTAAAATATCTCCAGTGAGAGAGACTTCACAACCTCTCTGGGCCAGGGAACAAGCACTGCACAGGAAAGTTCTTCCTTATGTTCAGGTAAAACTACTGGGCATCACTTTCTGCCTAATGCCTGTTGTCCCTGTGGTTGGCACCACTGAGCCAAGCCTAGCTTCATCCTCTGGGCACTCCACTTTAGGTATTTATACACATTAATGAGGTCCCCTTTCAATTATCTGTTCTCAAGGTTAAACAGACCCACCTTCCTCAGCCTTTCCTCATAGCAGAGATGCCCCAATTCCCCATCACCCTCATTGCCCTCCACTGGACCCACTCCCAGGAGCTCCTTATGTCTCATGCCAGATGACTCTGCCATCACCTCGGCCCAGGCAGGGACACCCCAACCGCAGCCCCCTGCCATCCCCTCAGCTCCCGTGCCAGCTGGGGGCTGCTCAGCCTGCAGAGGGGCTCCAAGACATCCCGTGGGGCGGGAAGCCCAGCACCCCGACTCCCGCTGAGGGGACACCGCGGACCCGGCTTCCCGCCCACCCCATCAGGCAGGGGGCGGGGCTTGTCCAAACCGACAACCCTCTTCTCCAATCCTCGCGCTCTCTTCCCCGCCCCGTGCCGGAGCAACCAATCACTACCTCGCAGTGCTCAGCCCGCCTCCTTGCTGCTGCCCAATCGGGCGGCGCCGCTCGCGTTCTCTCGTCTCGGGGGAGGGCGGGTGTTACGTGCCGTCGGTATTCGCGAAGCGCGGCGGCGCCGCTCTCGCCGCGCGCTGCCCGCGCACTGCCTGCGCTCTCGGCGTAGAGGCCGCAGTTGGCGTAGCGCGGGCAGAGGCGGCCGTGTCGGGGAGCGGCGGCCGCCGTGCGAGGAGCGGGCTGGAGGAGCGGGCAGGGCCGGGCAGGCACCGGGCCGGGACCGCGCCGCAGGTCAGTGGAGGGCGCTGGGAAGCGGGCTGAGATCTTCCGTGAGGCAGCTGGTGATGGGGGGCCGGGAGAGGGGTAGATCGGGCTGCGGCTCGGTGCACGGGCTGGGAGGGTGCTGAGCCCGGGCTGCAGCTCGGTGCACGGGCTGTGGGGCCGGAGCTGGGCTGCGGCCCGGGCATGGCTCGGTACCCCCGGGGCCGGGCTGCAGCGCAGTCGGGAGTTCAGAGGGCCAAGAGGTGGACTAAGATCTGGGCTGCAGCTCGGTGCCCGGCTCAGAGAGAGAGCTGGGACTGGGTACAGCTGAGTGCACGGCTGGGACAGAGGGCTGGGACTGGGCACAGCTCAGTGTCTGCCTGGGACAGAGGGCTGGGACTGGGCACAGCTCAGTGTCTGCCTGGGACAGAGGGCTGGGACTGGGTACAGCTCAGTGCACGGCTGGGACCTGGGCACAGCTCAATGCCCGGCTCAGACAGAGAGCTGGGACCTGGGCACAGCTCAATGCCCGGCTCAGACAGAGAGCTGGGACCTGGGCACAGCTCAATGCCCGGCTCAGACAGAGAGCTGGGACCTGGGCACAGCTCAATGCCCGGCTCAGACAGAGAGCTGGGACCTGGGCACAGCTCAATGCCCGGCTCAGACAGAGAGCTGGGACCTGGGCACAGCTCAATGCCCGGCTCAGACAGAGAGCTGGGACCTGGGCACAGCTCAATGCCCGGCTCAGACAGAGAGCTGGGACCTGGGCACAGCTCAATGCTCGGCTCAGACAGAGGGCTGGGTCACACCATTCAGTGCATGACCCCAGAGTGCCAGGGAACAGGCTGTGACCTCACAGTAGCCAAGGCTGAGAGCTGGCAGCACCTCGGTGCAGGGGCACACCACTGCTCGTGGTGAGGAGCACCGACCCGTCTCTCCCCCACTGCGGTGTCTGCGGGACAGCGGAGCCCCCGTGGAGGTGCCCGGGCCCTGGCAGAGCCAGCTGGCTTCTCCCGCAGCCACCGGGCACGAGAGGGTCTTTAATCACCCACGCAGGCAGCTCCTAGAGTCAGTGAGGATTGTTTACTGCCCGGTGTTCGTAACCTTGTCCCTTTGAGATGTTAATCAGCTCCTGCCTCCCTGGTTTAGGTGTTTTGTAAATGTGTAACGAAATCGCCGTCTCCAGCCCCAGATCTGAGCTGTACAGGGCAGAGCTCGGTGCAGAGCCGGTGCCGGGGGAAGGCAGCATTCCCGGTGGGCCTGGCCATTGGACAGCCGGATGACCTGATTCGGTTGTTATGCTGTGTAATCTGGAGCAGGCTGCTTGTTTTTTTCCCTCTCGGCTGCTTTCTCCATTTATAAGATACAGGTGCTAACACTTAGGGCTGGTTGGAAATGCAGGAAAGAGATATATTTTGCATTTCTTGAGACGGCTTTTCCTTCCTCTTGTTAGACTGCACATTAGAATGATCTTGCGCTGTAAACTGCTTCTAAACATGATGACTGAAATTAGAGCAAATTTTTATTAGCTGCTTTGCAAAACAGAAATTACAAGGGGGATGACAACAGTGAAGCTTGCCCTAGGCAAAAAGGGGAAAAAGGATGTTGGGGCTGGGTTAATTGCCATACCTCTTCAGACTGGAATGAGTCTGGACTGAATATTACCTATCCAAACAGGTTTTAGAGCAGGAGGAGGAGTCCAAGACTGGCTGGAACTAATTTACTCATTTCCCTCCCAAAGGCTGACCCAAAGACCTGTGTCAAAGAGTTGCACAAGAGACAGAGACTGGAAGCTCTTTGAATGTGCTGCCTGAAGACTTAAGGCCTCTCAGGGGACTTGAGATGACTTCTCACAAGAGATGCTTTCAGGAGGGGTTGTGCTGAAGACAGAGCACTGCAGCCTCTAACTGGGACAGCTCCTGCTGGTCTGGAGCTGAGACCCAACTTCCCTCCCTCCCTTTTCCCTTGGAGATGTTGCAGAGATTTAATCTGACCTCTTCCTGCTCACCTGAAGCCTGCCGTGGCGATGATCCCACAGCCAGATCCGACCACCAAAGAGAAGAGAATCGTGCGTTTGAGGCTGGGCCCTCGTTGTAACTGAACTGGAATTTATCCCTGCTTGTGCTCCCGGAACGACTGCCCTTCCTCTGCTTGTCTGTTTGTGCTGTGAGCCAGTACTCCCTGATCTTGTTTGGAATTCCTGAGCTTTCCACGCTGAATTTGCCCATGGCTTTCTTGATGAAGAAGAAGAAATTCAAGTTTCAGACAAGTTTTACTCTAGAAGAGCTGACTGCCGTCCCCTTTGTCAATGGGGTTCTGTTCTGCAAAATCAGGCTGCTAGATGGAGGAGACTTTGCTAGTTTATCTAGCAGGTAAGACCCTGTCTGCAGACTTGCTGCCTGGCTGTGCTTCTTTCCCTGGTTATTCTTCCCTTGAGTGGTTCAGCATATGGCAACCACTCGCTCACCCCTTGATGGGATTTTAATAGTTCTGTTGTAGGGCCCCACATGCCCTCTCATTCTCCAGAGCAGGGGAAGTACATAGCTGGAGAGCTCTGAACCTGGGTGGTGTTGGCTGATTCGAGCTGGATTGAATTTTTCAGAGATGAGGGGAGGGAGAGGTCACTCCTCTGAAAGGGGATTAAATCCTCTCTTCTCCTTCCCCCTCCTCCTTGCCCAAGTTCTCGCACACTGTTTCAAACCCTGTTCTGTATTGTCTTCATGCCTTACTTGAAACTCAGCTCTGTAGGAAACTGTCTAAGCAAATCAACCCTTCCCAACTTTGCTCTCCCCTTTGATACTGAATTTCTCTTCTTGGTGAGGGTGGAAGTAGTTTGTTTTGCATTGCAAATTGCTGTGCAAGGGAAAACTGGTGCCTGGAGTCAAAGTTGTTGGTGTTAAAGACCCAGTTTATCTCCTGGAACTGATGCCATTGCATTTCCCACTTCAGAGCAGCGGTGTTTTCTATGTCATGTTGGGATCACTCTGCTACACATATTAGAAGGTTCTGCCATCCTCTGTTGGCATTTCTCTGGCTCTTTCAGGCAGGTCTGTCCCCACTCTACTAATTGCTAATAAAAACTTGATTTGTTTCCAACTATGCACGCAGATTATCACGAACAGTATGCAAACACAAATTCCACAACAGCCCAGACTTGCTTTCTGCTTCAAAATATGAAGGAAGCCTTCAGTGGCTTTCAAAACTTGTTTTTTTGCTTTCCTGAGTGACTGCTCAGTTTTAAAGGCACAGGATTAGTTTGTGCTAGCTGTTAACTGCTTTATGCCAGGGCTAAAGCCTGGTTGGGTCTGGTTTTCCTCTTTGTAGTGCTGTGTACTGAGCTTTCTCATTTCAGGAGAGAAGATTTTATTGGGCAAGCATAAAACATTTCTGTCTTGCAAACAGAAGTGTTAGGGCAGTGCTCAAAGCTTGGGGATTTTTTTCCCAGGGGCACAATGCAACCTCATGTGAAGTCCATAGAAGCTGAGGGTGTGGAACACCTCCAGAAATGGACTTTGAATTAATTTCTCTTTTGAAGAAAATCCATCAAAAGAGCTTTTCCTTAGTGTTCTCCCCTGAGGCTAGATCCTTGGGTTTGGTGGAAGCAGTTTATCTAAGGAATTCAAACAGTATGTGAACTTGGAAAGAAATTAACCCTTCCACTTCCTGGAGTCATAAGAGAATAAGTGGCTCTGGAGGGTGTCTCAGGAAAAGCCTGTGCAGAGAAATGTCCATCTCCCTCTCCTTGTTGTCCCTGAAAGCAGCTTCTGGGAGCCATCCCTGGGGTGTGCTGGTGCTGCCAGCCGTGTGGGTTGTTTTCTGAGCTGGCTGGGGTTCAGTAGTTCGCTCAGCCTTGCAGATGTGTTCCAGCAACAAAATCAACTGTAATTCAAAACCAAACACATACATAGCTCTGAAACGAGCAAAGGCAAAGAGGGCTGGGGGGTTTCCCGCCTTTCCCCCGACCTGTCTGTGCTCTAACTGAAAGCACATGGAAACCTGTTCCTGCTTGAAAAGTTATGGGTCTCAGTGGTATTGAGTCATTTGACCTTTTCCAAATATTTTTCCCTGTTGCAGTTAGAGAAACTTCAGGAGGGATGAATTTCCAGAAGAGTTACTGTGTGGAGAAGCTCCCAGGTCATGCCTTGGCTTTGCTCTGTGTTCCTCTCTTCATTTCTGTCACGTTTTTGATACTCACTGGGAAAGATTAAAGGAAAGGAGATACTGTATATGTGTTCTGTTAGAAATCTAAGTTGTTCAGAGTCTATGATTGTTTCTCTGAAATCAACCACTTACTTGAGGTTGTAAGGTCTGGCAGGTAATCTCTTTTCAGCTGCTTGTGTCCAAAATCTGGTGTTTGCTCTGCAATCGGTTTGGGCTTCTGTGATCTGGGATATTTGGAGGTCTGTGGCTGTGATGGAGCTGAGCTGTAGCTCTTCATGACCATGAGTTTTCAGAGAACTGATCTGAATAATGTGTCCCCTGTCACCTGGAGTCTGTAAACTGAGGTTAGAAGTAGGTATAGGAACTCTTCACAGGAAACATTAAATCAGTTTTTGTAGTTGTCTTGTGGAAAGAGTGTTACACAGGGACCTCCAGAGACAGATTTTTCAGGTTATTTACAATAAGCTTACTTGACACCTCATACATGTCTGTGGCAGGAGGTGGGAATATGATATTCCCAATGAGTTCCAGGTGGCACTGGGATTTTGATCTGTGGGCAAGGCAGAAGCAGCAGCCTGTTCTGCTGGCTCCCATCAGCTGGGTCCCAAGTCCAGCTCAGCCTGGGTGTACATACAGAGCTGCCACAGCCTGGTGCTCTGGCTCTGGTGGGACACACACTGGGCTGGGACCCACTTCCCAGACTTCTCACTCTTCTGGCTGGAGGGGAACCTGTCTGAAATGTGTTAAGACTAAATGCTCTTAGGAATTCAAGGATGTCTGGAAAAGGTTCAGGTCCTGTCAGCACATTCAGCTTTGGGGATCTGCCTCTCCTGGGTTTTCTGGTTTGTTTGGGTTTTTTTAAATTATTATTTTCTTGCAGGCAGGTGCTCTATTTCCAGTCTTCCTGTGCTCAGGCTTTGCATTAAACGATGGGTACTAAAGTTTCAGCTGTAAATTTTGTTTGAGTTTTTTTAAATTATTATTTTTTTGCAGGCAGGTGCTCTTATTTCCAGTCTTCCTGTGCTTAGGCCTTGCATTAAACGATGGGTACTAAAGTTTCAGCTGTAAATCTCTTTTTGCTTGTTCTTTCCTTTCCATTTGTAAAGTTTTCTTAGGCTGTTCTGGGGCTTCTGAGGAATAAAACTGAAAGGTTTCACTTTACAGTGCTCTGTGTTAAAAGCGTCTATTGTGTCTGTGGGTTTATCACCTTGCAGTTGGATTACACAAGTTGGGCATCTGAAAAGGTATCTGAGCCAGGTGTAGGCCAGGCAGATGCTGTATTTCCCAATACATTGAGAAGTGCCAATATATTCCTTGAATATTTTTAATCCAGATACTTAAATAGCACAACCACCAGTGAATTCAGTTGCCTCCCAAGTATGTTTAAAAATAGCAGGCACAGAGAAGTAGGGATGTATTCATGGCAACCGTTTTTGTGGAGCAGGTGGGCGTCTGCATTTTGTACCAGTTTGAAGCTTTTTGAGGGGTTGTGCAGCTTTGTTCCTAGAGAGATGAGACAATAAATTCGTCAGGCAGTATCCCATCCATGGATCAGCACAGGCAGGAGACTGGGTGTCCAAATGAGTGCCTAAAGCTACAGGCTGATGGAGTAAACTCATGTACATCTTTGGGTGTCCCAGAAGAGGAAGACTCAATTAAATTCCCCCTCTCTGCTTACAGTTCATGTTGAGTGACAGCCAGATGCTCTTTGCCTTGGTGCTGAGTGATTTCTGGCTCTGTGTTGGCAGCGAGCATTGCTGGCACACAATGTGAAGGAAGTGGAAAGCCAGGTGTTATCCACAGACTCCTGACACCTCATCCTACATTGTTCTGTTAGCCTGCCAACAGTTTCACTCTGGTATTTCTGGATTTGAAGGAAGGGATTGTACTCTGAAAGCCCCTGTCTGACTCTAGAGGAAAGACTGTTTTGCATGAGTTGAGCAGTTTTGAGTGCATTTCCCACCTTCCTCATTGTCTTCTGAAGGCACCTTTGACTTTTTTTTTTTTTTTTTTTGAGACCATGCTTTTCCAAGCATCTGCCGCATTTCAGCTTGGTTTTCTGATCCTGGCACTCGTTGCAGCAGTTTGAAACAATTAATGTAGCTTGTCTCCTGCAGCCCTGCCCTCTTTGCATGTGGGCTGGATCTGGGAAGACCTGACCCTGTTGGGGTGGTCTGACCTCCAAGTGTGTCAGTGCTGCAGCCTGAACCCACGATGTTCTTAGCCTTGCAGTTTTTAATTGAGTCAGTATGAAAGGCCGCTTCCTGCACTGCATACTTGATTTATTTTTTGGGGGTGTAAAGCTTCATCCAGAATACCAGAGAAACACTGATATTTGGGAAGGCACCTCACATTGACAGCTCCCTGTGGACTGAGGTCAGCTTTGTGTAAGTGTGGCTCTGTCATCATCACGTAGGCACAAATGAGCTGAAGCTGCTTGCTTTTGGCAGCTGGTGGGATAAAAATCATCATAATGCCTTAGTGATAAACAAACTTACTCACTACTGTAGGACATAAATAAAGGAGAGAAGCATTGCCCTGCTAAAACAGGGCTGGTGATGCAAAAATTTTTGTTAAGGGAGGTGGAAGTTGTGCCACCTCCAGAATGCAGCTCTTGGTGGTGGGAGTTAGAAATCAACTACTTCACTGTCTTTCCATAAATAGTCATTGTGCCTGACACTTCAGGTAATTAAGCTGAGCATGTTTAGCTTTTTTCAGACCGGAAAATCGTTAGCTGTTTGTTTAATCAGAGACTGAAATACTGGTTCAGCCTGGTTGAGATCTGAATCTTGACTACTGTCTGCCTTAAAAAGCAAAGGTTAGGTAGCTAAATAATTACCAAGAGTAACTATTTAGAGTCCCCGAGAGGGAAGAAAACTGGCTGTAGTCAAAAGGGATCGCTTGCTGAGTGCTGCCTTTTGATTCCAGTGGGATTGTCACAGTTTAGTAGAGCAAGGAACTTGGTTGTGACTTTAAACTGTTCTCCCAGTTCCATATTTTAGGACAGTGTGTGCTTGGCTCTATCCTCTTCTAGAGCATGTGGTATGTTAACGTATTTTAAAAGTACTTTTGTTGCAAGTGTGTCTGGAAATGCAGACCTTCCCTACGTGTACAAATATTCCTATTATACAGATTAATAGACTTAGTTTTCATGTTCCAGAGCAGCTTCACATAACATCCTTCCTTCCTGGCAGAGCCTCAGGAATAGGCT